CGATGCATTAAAACGATAGAAGAAGCAGTAAATCTTTTACGGCTTCTGGTTTTCTGTCGATTCATATTTTTGTTAACATGCTCCTACACAAACTTTGAATATTACGTTGTTTTTGATCATTGTGAGTTGCAGTCTTCTTGCCTTGTGTGATCGTCTTTACTAAAATAAAATAAACTGTCCACTGCAACCTTTTCGCAATGGCGCAGCACGATTTGAAAATAACTAAATTAATTTATTCAACTTTTGGTGAGCAACTGTCCCTTGCAATATTTTGCTACCAAAGGAAGAGAGGCACAACGGCGCATGCGCGTCGGATCTCCTGCATGAACGACGGTCACTTCGCACAATTCTTGGATAGAAAATGGTGTACCATCGCGATGCACACGTTCACCAGCGATCTCCGCGCTTCCCTTTGCCCTGTTGCTCGGCAGCGCCATAAGCTGCGTAGTGAGTTTTACGGCAGTGTGAAATGCGGGACATTTTGAAGATTTTGATATTGCGGGACGCGGGACACGAGCCCTCGACGTGGGACAGTCCCGCAAGTCGCGGGACGGGTGCTCACTCTAACTATCGATAGCTGTTCGATAGTCGTCTGTCGTCTATAGCACTATCGATAGCTTTTCGATAGTCGGCTGTCGACGATAGCACTATCGATAGTTTTAGAATGCAGCTCTTAGGCGCCCGTTTCCGGCTGGAGCGGCGTCGCCGTCGGTGCACCCGCGCGGTGCATTATGGGACGCGTGACGTCACTGATGACGTCATCAGTGACGGCATTGGCATCGTCTCTGATGGCATCAGTGGCGTTACTAATGACCTCATCGGCATCCGGATAGTCGTTTCTGATGATGTCATCGGCATCCACATCGTCATCATCATCTTCCCTGAATACGTCATCAGTGACGTGACTGATGAAGTCATCCGCATCGTCATCGTCACTGGTGATGTCACTAGTGATGATGTCATCATCATCACGTGACCTCATGTGGGTCACGTGACCCCGGTGACGTCACGTGACCCCCGTGAGGTCATGTGACCCTCGTGAGGCGACAGCGACGCGGCTCGGAGGGAGGAGTAGCAGACAAGATGAGGAGGTGAGGAGGAGGGAAGAAGGATATACCTTCCCCTCAGTACCCTTCCCCTCCTCCTCAAGAGCTGCGCTCTAATTCGGCGTTACAGGGAGTTGTAAACGGCCTTCAATTTTTTTCGATAGTCGACTGTCGATAGTTTTTTTACTATTGATAGTCAGATTTCTGGCGACTATCGATAGCACTATCGATAGCTTTGCACCACTAGCACACGCGCCAACCGGCGACGAAAAGTAAGCAGCTAACGAAAAAGGGAGCGGACGAGCGGCTTGCATGCTTTCGCATTCACAACTCGTAAGGATGCTTAAGTGTATCTCAATCTTTTAAATTTTAGTTTGTTTTGACAGTGATGGTGAAACAAACTATACCACTCGCTGCTTAGATTATCCAAGGCACTCGCTGCATAGATTATCTATTGTTTGCATTCACTTCTGAGCATGCACTCGACACGTGTGCGGCGTCGGGGCTCGGCACATGCTCGGGTCCAAATGTATTCGGTACGAATACATTTGGAACTTGGCAACCCAAAATGTCTAAAACATGGCTGCCAGTGGTACTTGATGGACTTTTAAAAATGGTCTTTTCCTTCTCGATTATGTGGAATAGAACCCAGATAGGCCACGGTGCTTTTTCCTGTGTGCTGGCGCACCACAGCTCTGAACACGTGCATCGAAAGTTCGTGCTGCTGAACCCAGGGATTCTGGGTTCAATGCAAGCATCTGCCCGTTTCGATCTGGATGAGCATCATATTGACGTGTGGTCGTGTACCGCTACTGCCTAGTTCACGTTTAAGACTCCAGGCTAGTGGTTTTACAGTACTCGCTAAATTTCTCACCCTCAGCTGAGACTCCAGATGCCTGTTGCTGCTGACGATAGTCAGTGACAGGTTACGAAAAGTTTTCTGGCTGGGGAGGAGGAAGCAGATGGAATGCTGAAGAGAGGAGGTGGCTTCCTCCTCCTCTCCAGCGTTCCGTCTGCTTCCTCCTCCCCTGCCCTCCTTTCCCTCGAAAACTTTTCTTAACCTGTAACTGACTATAGCTTCCGGCTATCTCAACGTATAGTTTTTTTTAGATGCTTTACAGATTCGTGTATAAAAAGCCGTGACAGCTACACTTAAGCTGTTTGTGCAGAGAAGTTATGCGGGCAGAGGGATATAGGGCTACTCGTAACTATCAGTCAACCAATTATGTAAATAATTAGTGAGAATGGACAAATGGTTCCAATTAGAAATTTTCTGAGCATCATCGAACACCACTAAGTCAACTTTTTTCGAAATATATAAGGCAGGGGCAGCATCTTATGGCGTTCTGAAAGAACTCTCAGTTTGGACGCATTTTTAGGTTTCGGTTTCTTATCGGAGCGCATCTCTCTGCTTATAGTTCTGCTCCCCAGTGGCCGAGATGCGCAACATTTGTGCGCCTTACTTCCCTCCATCCTGCGAGGAAGGCGAGGCGGTGGCTTCGTGTTACTACCGGGGAGCAGGTCCGTGGGCACGAAGATGTGTTCCGATAATAGACCGAACCCTAGAAGCACGTCCAAACTGAGTTTTCTTTCAGAATGCCATAAAATGCTGCTGTTGCCTTGTTTCCCAGGCGAAAATCGGTCCACTTCCAGCTGGATTATGAAACTGGAACCGAGGCGGTCCAGTTGAATTCCAGCTGGGAGCTGGACCGCCTCATTTCCAGTTCCATAATCCAGCTGGAAGTGGACTGATTTTCGCCTGGGTTCTGTCTAAAAAGAGGTGGGCTAATGAATAGCTGAGCAGGTTTGTACTTGGAACCATGTCTATTTTCACTAATTAAAAAGTTGAACAAATTATATTGAATTGGCCGACTGATCGTTACGATTAGTCCCTATACACAAACTCAACTCTGTTAGGTCACGGAGTGGTGGTGGCGCATCGAGCGCACTTCCGGTCTGGGGCTGTGGGTGGAAGTTGCCATGTAAGACGTTGCTTTCCTGCATTGTTTTGAAAGGTACCAGACATAAACCTGCCTTCTCGTCAGAACGCTGCAACTTCAAAAGAGTCGAAAGGTTCGAAGGCCTGTTTTCATGTGCTAGGTTCGTCCGAGAATGGGATATGTGCCGTAAGAAGGGAAAACCAGACGCCGTCAGACCACGATTCCTTAAGCGGGATGCTCTTTGGGTTGAATTCACGGATACTTGCGGTCATCAGATTTATTTGTTTTGTTCCAACATGAATGCGGGTAAACCATGAAGTTGTACAGACCACGTGCAGACTACGTTCAGCGTGTCTTCAAGTTCAAACGGTCACCTGATTGTTTGAACTTTCTTCTGCTCTTTCAAACATTTCTGCTTGTCGTCTGCTCTTTCAGACGACATGACACGGGCCTATAGACCAAACATTAGCCTGGTAATTGCTATGAGAAGTAAGTGTAGGCCTCAAAAGACTCAAGTTTGAAGGTTGGTAAGCGTGCTCGATGTAAACAGTAGATACAAGGAGATATTCATCATTGTTACCAGTGGCCATCGTTCACTTATTATTCCCGATTCGCTTGGTCCGATTCTGCTTGAGATTTTCAGTGTCAATGTTGACCATCTCGGCTACAGTTCATGCTTTTGCAGCCCGAGCAATGTAGCGACTGAAAATCGTCATGCGAATCAGGCATTAGTGTACATTCTGTGGCATTAGCACGGAATGAATCACCAGATGTCACATTATCCACGCTAAGTTTTGCGGTGTAATAAGTCTTGGTAATTTCGCTGAAGCTGCTCAAGTAGTCGGGCGTTGCCAGGAAGACGTAGAATCAACAATTCGAACCGAAAATGAGCAGAGGACTTGCACCAAAGCCCACAACATTGCATTTCAATGGTTTATTTACGGGCGGCGGCGAGCTTCCTGCCCACATTTCATTGCGCATGCGCGGCGTTGGTGGCGTCTACTAGGGGTGCTCCAGTTTGTTTGTAAACATGAGTTAATCTATATTATGTCCCCCTGGCCATAAAACTCTCCTGCACAAACTGCAGAAGTGTAGCTTCTGCGGCTCTTTTTAGAGAAATTCGTAAACCATGAAAACAAAAAACTTATACACTGTGCAATTACTTTAGGGTGTGAGGTCTGGGGGATCGGTGGCCGAGTGGTCTAGCGCACACCAGCTCGGAGCACGTGGAGCGAAAGCTCGCGCTGCAGAACCCAGGGATCCTGGGTTCGAGCCCCACTCCTGCCCGTTTCGATCTGGATGAGCATCGTACCGGCGTGCGGTCGTGTATCACTACTGCGTGATGCACGTTAAAGACCCCAGGCTAGCGGCTGTACCGCACTGGCTAAATTTCTCATCTACAGCTGGGAGACTCGTCGCCCCTGTGAGGCAGACCAAGTTCTAGGCTGTATAAACACACACACAGCCCAATTATTGGTGTGAGGTCTCACGGTGTCCATATTCAATTTGCATTTTAATTTTTTTTAATATTTTTCGGGGTGCATATAAACGCGGCGATGAATCTGCCATTGTCTGTACATATGATGGAACCGAGCGCGAATATCAAATTATAAAATTGCAACAGCCTCAATCAGACTGTACGGTGAAACTGCATAAAATTTGATGGCACAATGCGATGTAGTTCTTCTTTAAAATTAATATCTTAATTTTGCTGGATTCAAATTATTCGATCCCTTGAAGTGCCCTGAAAAATTTACCCACGTGTGCCCTACCTCCATGGAAAAAGTGTCGTACTGTAGCCTCGAGGGCAAACAGACGCCTGTTCCGTGCCCTGTGAATGTGAAGTGTCCATTTTGAGCATATTTGAAGCAAATAGATGTATGCATGCGTGAGGAGTGTCTGCAGGTAATTCTGTCATTCGTTCTGCAGTAAACACCGTGCATGACCAGCGTCAACATGGCTTTAGGGATTTTCAGGATCTCTATTGTTGAACTTTCCCCTTCTTTTTTTCCAGATTGGCTCCCTGCTTGGCCTGATCACCTATGCCACGGTGGCGGTCAACTACAAGAAGGTCCTGGAGGTTTACGACGAGCTCCCCGAGATGAAGAGCTTGCTGGAATGTAAGCACTCTTGTTTCCACTTGTTTGACGAGTTAGCTCTATGGACCCTTTTATTAAATGCGCCGGAAGTAGGCGCTTCTGGCAAGTTACTTCCCCGCGAACTTCCGGTCAAATGAGGACGAAGAACCCCCACCATGGTGCCGCTTCTTGCGGCGCGTTCATGAAATATTTTATGACCAGTTCACCATGTGATTAGCTAATGGATTGGTTAGTGAGAGATTTGTAGGAAATTTTTTAATACTCCTTTAAGACGACTGATCTCCTCTTACCTGTTTCAAGCGCACCAGAAATCCCCAACTCGGAGATTTCTGTAGAACTTCATTGTCTTGGAAATATATCCATCAACAGGCTCGGAAGGCCTGCCGACATGAAGCTCCCGGAAGTCTCTTAGGGCAAGAGACAACTCGTGGTTGTAAACAGTAAAAGGATCTCTGTTTCGTTTTGCCGTAACTTGGCTAAGAGAGCGGTGCGGGCCCCTCGAGCTAATCTGGGCGACAGAGGCGAAACCTTGTGACAGCCCCTTGCCAAGGGCCTTAGGGAACAGCCCAAACACAGTATCTGTACGTCTTCTTGCAAGTCATGCTTCCATAATAATTTAGGCACGTGTAAATGCCTCAGCGGAGACCCGTCAGGACGGGTTGTGTCGGGTCGCCGCAGCTCGGGGCACGTGGAGCCAAAGTTTGTGCTGCACAACTTGGGGAATCCCGCATTCAATGCCCACCCTTGCCTGTTTTGATCTGGACGAGTATCGTTCTAGCGCGTCGTCACGTATCACTACTGCGGGATGCACGTTAAACGCCTGGCTAGCGGTTGTGCTGCACTGTCTAAATTTATCATCTCCAGGAAAGACACCAGGCACCCACTGGGGACGACTAACTCCTGTTTTCTAAACAAACTCGCGTCAGAATTGCCCTTTAGGTTGTGCTGACATGCTTGTTGCATTCTCTGCAGCCGCTTTTGGCATCATCGTCGCTTACATCGTCATCTGCGCCATTGGGCTCATCGTGTCCAGCCTCTGTGTCCGGGGCGCTTACACGGTAAGGCGCCACTTTCCTGCTCTTTGTCCTTCGAGCTCCAAGAAAGGCAGATTTCATAATAATAGTAATAATTATGCTAAGCCCCTTTATTTCCCCCTTTTTGGGTTTACAAAAAGGAAGAACGCCTGGAGTAAAAACTTTGCTGCTGATGCCCAACACACGTGAACAAAAAACATTTAAAAAAAGTTTGCCGCAGATTTTTTATTTTACACACAAAAAAAAAAGGCAAGTGCTTGGTATTTTACAGTAGTACTAAAAATTACACTCGGAGACCACAAAAAAAAAAAATTCTGGGATAACTACTTTGAACTTCATTACTGCAAATGCCTAAGAAAGGGAAACGAGAAAATGGGAAGCACAGTAGCGGCATCTCAAGCACAGCTACAAATTTATTTTCACTCTGTCTTTGGACTCTTTTTGGTCTAGTTAAAGCAGTTGCCGACCCTTAGGGGTCCCTAGGCAGAACAGAGGGTGACTAAAATAATTATCTACTGACACTCCCCCTATTGTTATTTGGTATCGTTACCATAGTGATAGGAATGAAAAAAACTTCAAAGTGCATTGTTTTATGCAGATTTTTATCTTTGTAGGACCAGCGACACTACATCCTGCCTTACCTAGTGTTTGATGCCATGATCCTCGTGGTCCAGGCGATCCTTTCCATCATCACGATCATCGTCATCGTCGTCAACGTGAGTTGCCTGTAGCCTTGGAGTGTGCCATTGTTGGAGTTTTCCTTGCCAGAAATGTTGCAGGTTTGAGAGTGTGGCTTCTTGACTTGAAAGTTATACCCCTGTCAGACTGGATAATTTAGTACTCAACTCACCCAAGCTGCCATCTTTGTAATTTAGTGTCGCTTGAAGCGTGTGCACTTTGCTCCTAGTGTCATGTGCGGTGTCACATGGTAACTTTCATTGTCACTCACCGAACTCGCTACACTCGATCCAGGAGACCGTGTATGTAGCGTCCATTGCAGTGTTTCAGGAGCAAAGAGAAAACGTAATAGAAAAAAAAAAAGAAAAAAGAAAAGGCATAGATAAAATGTATTTTTTTAGAGAACTACTATTGGATATTGCTGCGTGGTAACGTAGGAGAGTCTGCTGTGCATTTGGCTCACACGCAGGTGGCTCTGATTCGATTCACGCCACTGCGTGTCGTTTTCTTTGTGAAGGTAGAAGATTCGAGAAAGTTGGAGAAGAGTCTAGCCTATTCATGTTCAGAATGTACGGTACGAGAAGGATTGAGGCAGAATATTCCGGGCTCCCAGGGAAGGCTTAAAAGCTGTGCTGTGCCGTACAAGTCAGTGTCGCTCTTAAGCTTGATCATGCTATTCTACCAACCTTAAACACTTGCGAAACGACCTCTTTTGTATTTTTATTTTCGGCACAAGTTCGCCAAATAAACGTTTAGTTTCTGTTCATTCGTTACCTCATCAGCTGTCCTTCGTGACATTTTGGTGGAGGTGCAAGGTAAGGATTGCCGATGTTCAACACCCCTCTGAGGACTCGTCAGTTAAGTCCTTTCCCAAGTCCGGCCAGAAGACCTCTTTTTGAAGAACCCGAGAATCCAGGAAGCCGTCGCATCTAGGGACTGCCCCCGGAGTTTTTTGGGTGAACTGCTAGAAACATTGAAGAAAGCCCAGTCAACCATGAACATCCAGTCCTTGCAATCTCCGGTGACCCCATTTGTTGTTTTCCTGCCTGTTGCTCCACGTACACAGGCGCCCTTCAACGGCGACGTCCATGAAGACTTGGCAGATTGTCTTCAGCATTGCAAACGCGTGGCATGCCACAATGGACAGACAGCTGAACAGTGTCTGCAAAACTCCTGCCAGATGCCCGTCGTAGGTTTGGCACGTAAAACCCCCCTGTCTGCAAAACTCCTATCTTTCCTTAGAGGGAACTGCGAGGCACTCTTTTGAGAACCATGAGGCTTCTGAGAACCATAAGGCTTCCCTTCCGTCATGGGATACCTTCAAGACCGAACTTAAGAGGACTTTCACGAACCAGCAACGACGAGAGCGAGCGGAAGTCTTCCTGCAAATAAGGACTCCAGGCCCCAGAAACGGTCACCAGCTTTGTTGATGAGGATCTCGGCCTGAGCAGCCGTGCCGACTTTCAGGCCACCGAGGAGAAGCTGCATGTCCTGATAAGGCGTGAAGAGCGACATCCTCGGTGGCCTTGTTTGCAACCCAGCAACTACTGTTGACAAATTCGTTGCCGAAGCAACGAACATCGGGCGTGCACTGTTGGTCCGAGCCAGCCACTTCAACCGACTCACTGGCACGCATGTTGCTGCGATTTTGACTTCTCCCTGATTCGATCAGGGTGGCATCGGTGCTGACAACCTTCAAGAAATTGTCAGCGATGCCGTCGGGGAAGAGCTTTGGAAAATAGTACCCACTGCTGATCGCCCCGCCTCGATTTCTATTGCCGAGGTCATCCGAGAAGAGCTTTAGCGAGCCTTCCAGCTAGAAAATCCTGTCACCATGGCAGCACCGGAAGAGCCTACTCTCGGTTACACTGCCATAGCCAGATAACCGCCGTCAGCTGCCCACCGTTGCTGGGCGAGAACGGGCCCAGTACGTCTAACTGCAGAAACCTAGGCCGAGGAAGGGCAATGTGTGGCTCACAGGTGATGGACGCCCTGTTTGCTACCACTCTTGGGAAGCCGACCACACTTGTCGACAGTGCCCCTACTGCTAGATGGGTTTGCGGGAGTTTGCGCCTATTGACCCTCAACCACGGCTTGGAGAGCGGCCAAGTGACATCGAGGAATACCTGCGTCAATCGCTGCCTCCGCTGGCGGCTGGACCTTAAGGATCCCGTTCCCCGTCCCCACGGCGTCCTGAGTCAAATCGTCATCTGTCCCACCGATAGTTTTTCCCTGATGCCTTCCCGGGAAAGCTAAATGCGGCGACTCTGGGAGGTGGCCATTCGTCGATCCAGACCAGATCTTCCAAGAATGCCAGTTTTGTCACTACAGAGGGAAAGGTTCCCTCTGTAGCGGTGAAACGCCATGGAACAATGCTCCCGGGACAGTTCCCAACAACCTCAATGGAGTCATCGACGGCCTTGACGTGTCGACATTTGTGAATACCGGGGTGGACTACTCAGTCTTGAGTGAAAGGCTATCTCGACGCCTTCGGAAAGCGATGACTTTGTGGGATGGGCCATAATTCCGAACAGCCAAGGGGCCAACTCATAACACCTGTCGGGAGGTGCACTGCTCAAGCCAAAATTTACGGTAAAACCTGCCTGGCGAAGTTTGTTATTAGGGAGTTTTAAAATAACTAACACAATTTTAGTGCACGCTAGCGCTAAATTTAGCGCTTGCTTTAGCGCACGCGATGCAAGAGTTTTAGAATAGCGTTTCTCCGCCGCGACGCAAAAGCCTAAGCATATTGCGCTTGCAATGCCACGAAGATAGTCACAATTTTTATTTTACACATGAAATGCTGCAACTTGAGAAAAAACAAGATTTTTGGTCCGCAGTAACAATTTTACCTTTGTTTAAACGTGAGAGTGCGATGCGAGCGGTCGTCCGGTCGTGTCCGCCGCATGTGTCTCCTCGGCAAGAGTATACTGATTTTCGCCTATAGACCTTTTCATCCTCCTTCGCATGGGCGCTGCCATCTTGGAATCACCTGACGCGGCAGCCATTAGGTTGCTTCAACTTGCTGCTCCGCTCTCCCCTCCGCGCCTTGTCGGATGCATCGTACTCGTGCTTTTCGTCGCGTTTCAGCGCGCTTTCTTGTCTTACTTCGGAAACTGTTGTCCGATACGTCTACTCGGCGACTAAGACATCACGAAGTTTCAAAGGTCCTTATGACAACTCAGGTTTGTTTATTAATAGTGGCGGCACATTCTCAGTAAGAAGTGCGTATATTTATATCGCGCATTTAGGATCGGAAGGTGTCAACAATAGTCAGCGCAAGGAGACTATTTGTATTTCTTAAAATTATCGTTCTTTGTATTCATAATATGTTAAAAACTGTTTCTTTTGATTATGTGAGGAAACTCGCGGATGAGATAGACAACAAACGTTTAACTTGTACTTATCTGAGGTTAGAATTAACGGTACGTCAACATCAGGCAATTTGTTTGTTCCTATCATCACACTTACATGCGTATGAGGTTCTCAATATTTTTTTGCGACGTCAACGTTCGGTTGGTCGGTTTACTCATGAACTTTAAGGAATTGTAACCGCGCTCGCTCCCATTTCGACAGTCATTTAAGTGATTTATTAATTATATTTAGATAACCAGTGCCATCCACTTAATTTATTTTAACAGAAAGGTTGGGAATTCTCGCGTAAGAAAATGCCACAGACTGTTAACAGTCGCGAGCTTTAGAATAACAAGCACGAAGAAATAACGTCTTTTCTATGTAAATTCAAAACGCCGTCTAAATTCGGCGCATGAGCAATTTTTTTAAATTTTTTTTTATGCAAACGTTGTTTTAACTTTTGTTAGTATCTAAAATCTGCAATATGTGACGCCGAAAAGAAAAAAAAAAAAAAAGGAACCGTCTACATAGCTATCATTTGAGTCCAGGATTGTCGATGCCGAATAGCGGCTTACTTTTGGTGGCTGGCGACGCCGAAATTTACAAAGCGAATCTGTTCAAACAAATAAATATTTTTCACACAGGTCCGTGAAGTGGTGCCTAGCGTTAGAATTCGGCCAAACTTTCCGAGGTATTCCTCCTCCTGCGCGCTTTAATTTTATTAGGGCAATTTTACGGAAGACACATGTCAGATTTAATTTGACAGGATTGTCACTTACAACGAGTGACGATCTTGAGTAAGCAAATGTTGATATAAAAATAATCTATTTCCTAGGTCGAATATCGCAAAATTCTGCTTGGCAGAATTTTGCAATATTGGCAGGGTTGATAGTTTAAGAAATTTCCTACTCGGCCTGTCAAAACATGCTCGAGTACTGCTCAAGTAGTCTCTTCATGGATTAGAAAAAAAGAAAGAAAAAGAGGCTGAAACGATATTACTTCTTTGTATCAATTATCTATGTCATTACACGATACGTTTTTAGTTTGCGAAGTTCACTAAAGGTTGAGTGCCCACAAAAACCAAACAGGAGTAGTAAACTCGCAAGTTCATCTGTTCTGTCCGATTCAGCACATTGCTAAACAAGCTGTCGGTATGCTTCTTTACATTCATGTGTTAGTCTCTTCATTAGTTTGTTTTTCTGGAAACTGGCGTCATCGGGTACAGCCGTAAACGATGGTAATCTTCCCTGTACATCAGTCAGGCGTTTCGCAACCAACCATAGTCAGATATATCAAAGAAGTCAGTAAAAAAAGCACGCAATTTAGGCTTTAACACACCTCGTAGTCCTCAAAGTGGCTCAATACCACTGTTTCATTGGTTGCGTGCTACAAGGAACATAATTGTATCACAAAATTAAGCAAGAACAACGTAAAACAGCAACATAGCCGCGTTCACGTTAAAACCGAAAGCAACCAAATTGAAGCAACCTAATGGCGCCGAATGCGTCAGCGCCCTCTATCCGCCGGTGAAGCAACTACTGAAATGAAAAGGTCTATAAATGTTCGCTCGTTGCAAGCATCAAGTTGCCGGTGATGTTGTTCACCCTACTGGGTTTTCCAAATCGAGTGCAAGTTCATCCCGTATTGAAAATCGCAGTCGCGAGGATGTTGCCGACGTCACGCT